TAACTATAAAGTTTGACCTCCTCGGCTGTAATTGGTCCAGCCCAGAGTCGATCATGACCAACTGGCCAATCCACCACCGTTCATTTATACCGTTAAAAAAAAGAAAAGGAAGGAAACCCCATTGGCCCATAAAAATGAAAAATCACGAGCAGCCCACTGGGCAAATGCCCGGGATGCCCGATGGCCAGTCCAGCCCTGAAATACAGTCATGACAATAAACGAATATGAGTTCAAGGACTTAACATCATTACTTCAGTTACACCAACATCTCTGATACATCAGCACTAAGCGAACACTGAATGACCTGGTGGTTTATGCCCATCTAAGATTACCACAAAGTAAAAGATCTCTCAGCAAAATTATGCAACATTTTAGGCACTACTGCCCCGATCAGATCAGTGAGCTGGGATTTCTTATTCTAAGCATGAGCTACTGTTACAGCAACAGACATTAATACTACTGGTGTCCCACACAACAACTCAATGTCCACTATGTGAAGCAGCCAAACACATGCCTGCTCCTCTTGTTAACAGAGATAAACTGCTGGCATATTGGTTTTACATCTGTACTGTCCAGTCTCTCCTGGTGGACATACAGCAGCATTGTTTAATCTCATTTGAGTCATTGTTGACTTTAGCCATGTTTTTAGTCTTCTGAGAGCACCGAAGCTTCTTTCAGCCTCAACTGAGGATACTGGGATGACTAAAAGCAGCCTGACAATTGTCATGATAATAAATACTAGTTAATCTACAGCACCAAATCATCAGTCAGTGACCTGTGACCTCGCCTCTTCACCTCTGAGCTACAACATGGCAGAGCTGCCTCAGTCACCTGATGCATAACAGTGAGACATTCACATACATGCAGCCACACATGTGCTTCAAATACAGTCATGAACCAACATCATCCAGTTTCACCTGTGATCTTGTGTCACCATCACTCTCTGAGCTCTGTGTTGGTTCTTCTGTCAGCTGACAAACAGGACAAACATGACAATAAGAATAAAATGTGGAGCTGCTTCAGTGTTTCTGTCACTTTGTGCAGATCTTGACTCATCAGTAATGTTTGTAGGCTGAGTGCATTTTAAAAACAATTTGTGCAAACTGCACTACAAGGTGGGATATTTGCAAAATCATGACTACCTCATGATATATTGTCTCAAAAATTAACCCTATGAATACGTCAGTGCCATTAGGAGGAAATTATTGTGTCACCAACATTTAACGTTAGACATATAATTTTAACAGCCTCTGTAAACTAATATCCTGGCTGCTCGAGGCTCCGTTTTCTCTGACAGCTTCAATCAAAATGAGAAATGCTGCTCTGAGACTGAGAGAACTAATAGTGCTGCATGTTGTGCAGTTAGTTTCCCAACACGTTATTCATGATTACAGTATTAGACTGATGTGGCCAAAGCCTAGCATAGCCTGTAACGTTATTGTGACAAATTTTATAAGTGAGCTTGGCTTTAAGTGACTTACAGGTTTCTTTGAAAAATACTTTCTTATATCCAGGGTCTTCCTCTTAGCTGCCGTCCTCCTCTCCTCGCAGCGCAGGCTTGCCGCTGCTAAAACTAAACAGAGCTCCCTGAAAGGCTCAGCCAATCACATTGGCCATATTTATCACATGACTAGGACTCCAGTAGAGAACGTGATTTAACTCTTTCTGCACCGCTGAGTGAATGAGACGTTGACAGATCGTTTTTTTCTTTCTATCGGGATTGATTTTCTTTACTCGAAGAGTTTAAATTATTGGCGGGGACAATTCAATAATCGCTGGATATTGGTGGGGACACGTCCCTTCCGTCCATGCCAAATCTATGCCCTTGGTTCAGATGTTGATTCATGGTTTTCTTTTGTTTTTGATCTACTGCAGAATATTTTTATAAAATCCCAGGCCAGGAAAATCACCTTCATGTTTTTCTGTGATAAAGTCTCACAAGTGTCAGCGTTCTTTTTATAGATATAAAAATATGGAAATGTACTGATGCATGAGCTAAATTATAATATTTCTGTCTGAGGCAAAATTTCCCCGAATCGAATTGTGGATTGAATCGATTCTAGAAATCACTGACGATACCCAGCCCTACTGTCGACCATAATATCCTATTAGAGCACGCTGTAGGTGCTCAGGTACTGCACTGCAGTGGTTTGAATCATATCTATCTAATAGACTCCAATTTATGCATGTAAATCCACACTAAAGTTAATTATGGAGTTCCACAGGGTTCAGTGCTAGGACCAATTCTGTTTACATTATACATGCTTCCCTTAGGCAGCATCATTAGAAGACATAGCATACATTTTCACTGCTATGCAGATGACACCCAGCTCTATCTGTCCATGAAGCCAGATAACACA